ACAACAACAACGAGACGCTCAATCGTCAATCGGAAACTGTCGGATAATCGTCGGTAGCTACCGATGACTGATCTATAATTGACTGGACTAACATTGAGATCAGAGTAAAACTCTATTAAACGAACCCGCTTTGAAATGGCTTGCGCAAAAAAAAGGATGGCTTAAAATGACATTTGAATTCATAGGGTGTAAAGTTAGAAGATGTTTTATGAACTATCAAAGCACCAAACAATTTGATGTACATTAAGACCAACGCGCGACCTCTAAAACTTGGACTTTTTTGCCATAGTAGCCTCTGACGTATAAATTCTTAACTTTTTGTAAAGATTAGTAGATTACTGTAAGAAACCAATCATGCATAAAATCAGTCATGTAATTTATCAGTCATGTAATTTATCACACGCAGTTTTTATATATAATCCTGTAGTTTATAGTAACAAATATATACAGTAAACTCTTTTGTTCTTCCATTTCAAAGGCTCAATTTAGTCACTGGGCAACGTCCGCGACAGACGACAGGTTTCGGTAAACTGCGGTACGGGACCAATCATGACTTTGCCAAGGCAGCCGCAGCCAAGGACAGAAGGAGCTACCACGGAATGTTATCTTCCAGCTTTTGTTAGACAGATGATGCGACAATTTCATTCACGTTCTTTGGGCAGACGTTTGCGTTGTTTCATCGCATTTTTCTTCCTCTTTTTATTCATATATTGATCAAGTTTTTTCGATCCCTTCAAAGTCTTATACTTCTCAGCTAATTCTAGTTTCTTTCTTTCCGCTAAAATAAATCGTAATGGAAATAATTTAACAACGGCCAGGGGTATTTATTATGGCCATAAATCACGCCCATGACTATTTATTCTAATTTACATATCACGGTTGAAATATGGCTTCAACTGTGAACTGTGAATTATATAACGCGATGTTGTTTATCGCTAAATCTGAGAATAAAGTAAGTCGTTTGCAACTTGCCTCAATCGCTGGCCGAAAAACAAAGTGTGTCGAAGTATTTAATGTAATGCTGGCCTGATTTCAGTTACTGCCTATTCTGCATTTTCAATATTTGTACAGAGGTTAGTTTTTACGACATTTCTCTATTTAACTCTACATAAGAATACAGCATTTCTGCCACTAGGAACAAACGAAAATGCAGAATAGGCAGTAACTTACACCAGGCAAACGAAACAGCCAATAAAAGTATGTTAAAAGATGCTTACATTTCTTTAAATAAAATGGTCGTTTTCCTTGCTTTATCAAAGATAGTTCTTTCTGGCTTCTTTCTTTCTGTTTTTCTTTTCGTATTTTCTTGAGATTTCTCGACTTTTCTGCTTGCTCCTAAATTTATGAAGAAAGAGTTCAGTAATACAGCACAACAGAAACAGCAACAACAACAACAACAGCACCAGCCACAACAACAACAGCACCAGCCACAACAACAACAACAACAACAACAACAACAACAACAACAACAGCAACAGCAACAGCAACAGCAACAGCAACAGCAACAGCAACAGCAACAGCAGCAGCAACAGCAACAGCAGCAGCAGCAGCAACAGCAACAGCAACAGCAACAGCAACAGCAACAGCAACAGCAACAGCAACAGCAACAGCAACAACAACAACAACAACAACAACAACAACAACAACAACAACAACAACAACACAACAACAACAACAACAACAACAACAACAACAACAACAACAACAACAACAACAACTTTATTAAGCACTATTAACAATTACAAGGGAAGTATTTACAAAAACGAAAATTAAATAACAGTATAGTGCAGAGCAACTGTAGTAACCATAGGGGCTAGTCGAGACAGTTGGCCTTTAAAACGACAAGTATAAAAACATAAAGCATAATTAAAGAGGCAGATTTGACAAATAAATAATACAAACAATTAACTAAAGCTCAACTAATTACAACAAAAATACATTAAACAATACGTACTAAACAATGTATGACCACCCATTTACTAAAATTGTCAATTTACCTTATGCAGGCAAAGACCAATCATCATAACCAGAAATTACTTGTTTTAATTTACGTTTGAAAAATAATTTACTGAGAGATTTAAGCGATTCGTTAATAAGTTTCTGGTCCAAAAAATTTAATATTGAATTTTCCATAGTCGGTACGAATTTTGGGAAGAGAAAAAGTAGATTTGGAAGCCAAACGTGTTCCATATTGATGCATAGTATTAACCGAGAAGAAATCATTAAAATTGCCAGGTAGATTGCCACTGTTGAACTAGCTGATACATAAAACAAGATGTATCAAGATAGACAATATCAATCAGTTTCAGCAAGTTCAGTCTCTTAAAAGAGGTCATGTGTGAGACCGATATTCAGAAAACGTAATAATCCTGATAGCTTTCTTTTGTAAAATTACTAAATCTTTAATGATTCTTCGAATTTAGATGACCATCGATAATGACACTTAGATAATTAATGCTAGTCTTTTCTTCTAGAATTTTACTATTAGTTTTCAGGTTTATTGAATAACTTATCTTCTTTTGAGAAGGGCGAAAGATGACAAAATTAGATTTTTCAATATTTAAGAACAGTTTATTGGCACAAGCCATTCGTTAACATTGTAAAGTTGATTATTCAAGTTGGTTTCTAAACATCACTGGTCGTTGATACTTTATCAAGAGTCTATTGCTATTAATAGAATGAAACCGTCCCTAAACCATGGAACTAAAGCCTCTAAAGATCTATTAATATTTAACTAATCGTATCTTGTTACTTCACTATATATACTTATGTAATATCATGATCATTCATTTCCTGATGATGACTATAGTTTAGTCGAAACGTCGAAATAAATTTTTCAAAATGCTTTCAATTTTCGGAGTATCTATTGTTTTGTATTTTATGAAAAATATTTATTTCCCACCATGTAAATTGTTAACGACGCGTGCCGCTCCAATCGTTTCTGGCGCAAACAAAACATTTATGTTGATTAATTGTTATTGAATTAACATTATATACTAAAAGTAATGTTTATTTCCCGTAACTCGTTTACATCTTTCAAACGTTGGGGCTTAACTCGAAGAACAAAATGTTTGACTTTGATCGAGTTAAGCCCCTATTTTCTAGAGGTCTAAACTCGAAGTACCTAACTCCAGTTATGTACTCCGAGTTAAGCCCTCAATGGAAATGGGTGTGACATGGGCGTGACATGGGCGTGGTCGGGGCTTAACTTGAAAGGGTGTGGTTGGGGCATAACTCGAAGATTTGCTACCCTGACAAAATCACTTCATACGTGGCTTCTCATAGTCTGACGGACTTGTCCATACTCAACATCAATATTCGATATTTGGTGAGTACAGTCATTTATTGCGAATTGTGAGTCTGTTTGGTGAACTTAGTCTAAAATGCTTCTCTAAGCTGCGGTTTCCATCAATCGTCGTATAAAATCATTTATATAATAGATATAATCATGTTGCACGTTTTAAAACACGTTTGATCTTTTTAATACCCGATTGAAATTCGAAAATATAATTCCAGTGAAATGTAAATTACGTGTCATATGATACTGTACATAATAGCGGTTCTTGAATAAACACGTATTGCGCATTTCTTTTATCTTTACTTATTCTCGAAAATAATGGTGTTTCAAGCTTACTGTTTGCGGTTAACAACGAAAGTAAACCCAACATAAACTTTATATAATATCTCGTGCGTATATTAGCGTACCTATTTTTCAACGCGAACAGCTACTTCACGAATATTGCTTATATCGTATATTGACCAGCTTCCGCTTGGGCTGGGTCATTACACAGTCAGAGAAAAGATAGTTTATACTTACTAAACAAGACCATAGGTATCGTAGCTCTTTCGTGGTAGTCTGGTAGATAGTCAACACAATTCTGAAACTTGAAAACCTACCAAATAAATATTATATCTGAGTTCTGTTGAAAGTGAAACAAATCTGAGTTCTGTCGAAAGTGAAACAAAAACCGAATTTCCGCACTGCACACGTTCGGGAAAAACATTCAGCAAATTTTGAAGCAGCTCATGTCTGACAATGTATTCGTATTACTCACTTGAAACGTTCCTTCAGATTCGTTTTCGTCAAAAGTTTCGAAGTAGAAAATCGAAATTTTACAACATTTTTTCACAGAATTCGACAGCGCAACGACAACAAGACGCACAATGTAATTAATGTGCGCAAGACACAGGACATGCCTGGGCATGACAAAGTATCAAATTACATGCTTCCACATAAAAACGTTAAACTTCAATTACAGGGAGTGGGATCCGGATATCATGTATAATAGAAATACATGCATGCAGTAACCCCTAATGGGGCCATGGAGAAAATCGGGCCAATTTCGTTTATGAACTCACAGGTAAGATTCATGTTAGAAACTCTCGATAAAAATAAATTATGTATCTGCAAATAAACAACTGAGTAAGTAGTAGTAAAGTTCAAATGAATAATAGTTACGAGATGAGGTAAGTATATGAAGTAATGAAACTCTGGCGTAGTCGTCAGAATAACCGCCTTTCGCCTCGAGTTCGTGAGTTCGATTTCTACGGATTCATGTGAAAAGAGTCGCCGAAAGTCGTGCATGGGGTTTCTTCGCGTTCTCCAGTTTCCATCCACACTCGGACCCACCCAGTTAACTTTCCCTGTGGATTGCCAGGATATGCAATTTGGATAAAACATGCAGGAGTGAGTTTGTTTTATCCAAATTTCACTAAGAATGAAAACTCACGAGTGTTTGTTTTATCCAAATTTCAAGCTAATTATAATAGCTTGAAAATTTCACTCAATAGAGCTTGTTAAGGTAAAGTCTTTTCCATTTTGAAAAATGATATTTTCCACTTGCGGTGATTTCAATGCTTATAACTTCTTGCTTTTGTATGTATAATTATAATACTGTCAGTGGTGAAACTACCATAGCAACAGGTCATACTATGCAAGTTTTCAATGCCTGCCAGTCACACTAGTCGTAAGAATCGGGGATTGCCATTGTCTGTGGTCAAATGCTTTGTCTGTCGGAAAAGAATACAATAGATCGCCGATGAATTAAGACCAGTGTGAACCAGGCTTAACAGCCTAGCATGACCAGTTGCCATGACTAGCTTGCTACTGAAAACTGTACAATATCATATATATAAACAATAATAATACTTGAATGAATCATTGGACATGTAGAATTTAATAACAATTTCATATGGCACCTTGAAGGCTATGTTCACAGAACAACTGAATAATCTACTTATGCATGGGGAGACAAAATCTATTTGTCGACATTTTTGTTTTATATGTCTGCTCCAGATGACACCATTCATTTGCAATGACGGACAAAGATTGTACTCAGTCATATAACTGCAAAACTATATAATAAGAAAGAAATTGTGAGCATTATCGAAAAATATAGTATACCCTGAAATGCAGTGACACAGGTACACAGCCATGCAGGTGAATTATTCGTGATAAATATGATAACCGGTAGGATCATTTCATATTATGCAAACAATGGACAAATCTCAGAGATATATTTTTACAGACTGTCATATACCTTGTATAAAAGACGGTTTACATATTATTACATGTAACTGCTGGTAAGCTAGTTAATTTAATTATGTGCAGACAACAATCCACACTGTCACTGCGTTAACTGCATGGGTTGCTATCCTATATCTTTACATTATAAAGCATATACACAACTGATTCCGCGTTTGTTCTTAAAACGTGCTGAAATCACATTGCTCTGTCTATGAACATCTAGAATGAACACTATAAACTCATCGTCTCGGCACATCGCCACACAATAGACCTTTCCCCTTATGAGTGAAATTTTGATCTAGATATGCCTGGATAAAAATTTCATTACAGCTTGAAAGAGCATCACAAAATTAGTAATATTCCAAAGTTTCGTTGCGAAATGTTGTAAAATGCGGATAATATAGCCTTGCAGAGTTTGCCGTTTTTCAGTCATTTTGCATTACAAACGGATAATCAGTTTGATCATCTGTCATGAGTAATTCGTTCTTCCGGACGAGTTTGCAGGAAACATCTTTTTAGATTTTTTCTTAAAAACGCCCCACGTTTTATACTGAAATTAGTCGTCTGTTATACGTGGTCCTGGTCCTGAGAAAAAGAACAAGATTTCTCACAAAAAACAAGAATAAAACTTGCAAAGGGTAAACGAGCAAGAAATCATCACGTTTTAAAGAAACATCTTCAAAATTTTCAACCGAAATCTTTCCATGAACTACGTCGTTTGAAGAGGCCTCGTTGATTTGGCGCAGCAAGTTTGTGAAATGGGGATAATAATAGAATATTTTTTTACGGTTTTTCCAGGATAGTATTACGCCATACAACTGCGTAGCTGTAGTCAGGAGGGTCGGGGTGATTATGGGCCTGTGGTTGTAATAATTTGATTTATTGTCGGAATTTTTTATCTACCAAGAAGAACTGTAAGTTACTGTAAATCTATAATCAGTAATTTAAGACCAGTTAGGAACGAAATTATGCAAATACGGAATGTGTATAAATTGTTAAATAACAATTTTCGTTTGATATTTGATCATTAATATAAAACGTGCTATTAAAAAATCTTTGTAAGATTAATAATATCAAAGTAGGCCTGGAATGACGAAAAGAGTGTTTACTCACTTATTTCTTGGCATTCAATAGTTTTACCAGTATATATAGCGGCCAGCGCGTGCGTATAAAAATTTCTCTGGTGTAATCCTCTAATCTGTAACTCTGTCGGTTTGAAGATCGAATTTATCAATGTGGAAGTATCGCTCGTGATTGATTGTTTTGATACAACAAACTGTAGAGCTGTGCGGTTCCAGAATTTTTATCTCGGTCCAGAAAAACCTCGGTTCGGTGCGGTTTCGGTTATTTTCAAAAAAGAAGAACAGTACAAATGTATGAACTCGTTTATGTATGTTTCGAGCATTTTTACTAAATAGATGAATTTATGCCTTTGTAAGTTTGTATAAATCTCTGAATATTTTAAAAGAGCAATCAAATTGGAATTTATTTATGAACATAAAATATTTCTTTTAAAAAAAATTTAAAGCAAGAGCATGCACAACAATAATTATCACAACTAAAATATCAACTGTTTGAGCACTTAGTCGTTAGTTCAGTGCATATTGTGCACAAAGAGCACAATCTTGTTATTTTCCAAACATTTCAACCTGCAATCAGTTGGGCGTTTGGCGGGCGTTAAACAGGAAATTAAAACCGAAACTACCGATTCTTTTGCGTGTAATTTTTCGGTACTAAAAAAAGTACCGGAAGAACCGAATTTTTCGGTTAATCGCACAGCTCTACAACAAAGCAAAATCATAAAAAAATTTCTACCAGGTCTGAAAGATACGCAAAGACAAGCCTTTCGCGAAATCCTTGCAAACCGTGTTGAGATCTCTGTGAGGCTTTTGAGAATTGAGAGAAACGGCTGAATAAATGTTATAGCACCATCCAACCAGGCGTGCTTCCAGATGAAGCTGGAAAATCTTGTTCCGGTGTTCAAGAAGACGATGAAGAATATGTGGAGAACTATCGGTCAATATCTCAGCTAACGATCATATCAAAGGTGTGAACTTGAACTGTGTGTTCTGGTCAGACTGCGGGACCACCTTTTGCAAATGCTAGACCGTGTACAACATAGATTTATTCCTGGCAAATCATGTGCTACCCAGTTGGTTGAAATTGTCGACTACATTGGCTCGTTACTAGAATCTGGCAAACAAACGGATGTGATAGTGATATGTCTAAAGTTCAACATTCTCCTATGAGTCTTATCATTGCTAGATATTGCGGCAATGTAACATTTGTGTTAGTTTGTTGAGCTGGTTCACATCATGCCTTCATGGGCGAAGACAACGAGTTACAGTACTTGGTGCAACATCTCGAGAACGAGCGGCAACATCTGGAGTTCCTCAGGATTCGATACTTGGCAAGTATTTTTTCTTTTATTTGTGAACGAACTGCCCAAGACTGTAACTGCATCGAAAGTGGTTTGCTTCGCTGATGACACTAAGAAGGTTCTGAAGAAAGTTGACAGCCTACAAGATACCGTTGATCTTCAAAACGACATTGACAATTTCAACTCTTGGGTCGTATTCAATGGTTTGACATTCAACTAATCAAAATGTAGGTGCCAGCGTATCACACGTAGAAAAACACCTGTCAACTATCAATACGCTTTGAATGGTTCACTAGTAGGTGCTGTGAACCAAGAAAATGATCTAGGTGCATGGGTAATGGGTATCGAGTGACTTGACCTGGAACAAGCAAGTTGTTGAATAAAGCTCAAAAGCAAATAAACTTCTGGGTTTTCTCAAAAGATTGTCGAAGGGAAATAAGAAATCATAGAACAAGAAGCTGCCTGTTCTTAGCGATTGTACGACCACAAGCAAGTGGAACGAGTGCAGCGTTGTGCAACAAGGTTCATCTTAAACCTATACTATTCGATTGTGAAACCAGCTACAAGGATCGGATAAAAGCAAGCAGCTTATAACTACCACTTAGCTTCTGACATGAATATTTAGACATGAAATTTCTTTTCGAAATGATCAACGGTTTGGCATGGGCGTACCGGAAGGAAAAAATTAGGGGGGCGGAAAGAAAATTGCCCGACTTTTCGGGATTCTGCCCGACTAGTACCAAAAAATTTTTTCCGGAAAAATTATTTTGGCGACCCCCCCCGTCGCCAAAAAAATTTCGATCAGTGTACCATTTTAGGGGTCAAAAAAATTTTCCGGACAACCAATATTTTTCGGAACATAACACAAATTTTCGAAAAATCGCAAAATTTGCCAAAAAATTGACTTAATTAATTTTAGACAAAATTGACAGAATTTGTCCCATTTTTTTTAATGCAAACCGAAATTGCCCGACTGTTGATCGAATATTGCCCGACTGCCCAAAAAACTGGGGGGCTACCGCCCCCCCCCGCCCGGTACGCCTATGCGGTTTGGTGTATGTTAACGACGAAATCATTCCAGAACGAAATTTTGGAAACAAGAGAAAAACAAGAGCTGTGAGCAATCCAGAAAGCATTCTGCTCCGTGAAAAAATGCAATATGGTGACATTAAGTCTTTTGATTACTCGAATATTACAGTACTATTTTAAACATACACTATGAACCTGAAAATCCACTGACATGGAAATCTATCTGCCTAAAATGTAATACGGCTCGAAATCTTGCTACTCCAATCTCTTGCTGTTTTTAATAATAGCGAGGTTTGAATTTGGCATCCGCGCCACCACTCCGCTACCTCTCGCTGACCTAGTACGCATATAATTTGGTTAGTTTGGTATATTGTTTCATGGTCCTTACTGGTAGCTGTGGTGGTGGTAGATGTCAAATTTGAATCTCTGAAATTGTATTGTACCGTATCTTATCGTATTGTATTTTTTTGTAATCACTGCATTGCATTGCGTTGCGTTACATTGTATTATCGTATCGTATTGTATTCTTAAATTAACTTTATTTAATTTAATAATGTAACAATTCAATTGTTGAGGTGACCCTGCCACTCGTATAAGTGGCAAAGTTTAACAAATAATTATTATATGGCAAGCATCACTTCCGGTGAAATGGTGGACTGTCAAGGTTTTTATTCACGATAATCACCGAGCCTGAGGTGAATAATTGTTTTAGTATAATTTCATAGGTGATTATTTGGGGGAAAATAAGAAAATACACATTTCTTCGTCATTTAATTGACAAAAAGGCTTCGGCCGCCATTTTGAAAATCGCTTAGGTGATTATCGCGTAATAATCACCTCAACGGCAACCAATCAGCGTGGAGAATTTTCAATAATCACCTATGTAATTATACTAAACAGTTTTAAGACCTTTTTAAGCCACCGTGTGTGCAAGTGGCGGACACTTTATGATATAGGGGGGGGGGGGGCTCGTGCCAAAGGCACGGAAAATTTCTAAATTTGAATCCCGGAAATGGCATTTGCAACATTCTGAGACACGCATAATCAGAAAACCCAGAATTCCGGGCGCCAGAGTATGCCTGTTCGCAGGTAGTGCTGTGAATAATATAGTATAATATAACGACAAAAATCATGACCAAAGGCACCAAAAACGGATCAAAATTGGGAATCGACTCACATTACTTCAATCCCATTCCCATTTTTGAGGACTTCATTTCCCATTCCCAGTGGCCAAATCCCAGTCCCAGCAACCCAAATCCCATTTTCCCAGTCTAAAAATAGGTCATCCCAGTTCCCATTTTACCCCTTCAGG